CCTGCATCGGCAGGCGGACTCCCAAGCACTGCGCCACCAGGGAAGCCCAGTTGTTCGCTTTTTAATCCTTACTTTTATGTTGTGTGGATTTTACCTTAAAATTATTAATTTAAAGAACCAAAACAACAGCAAAACACTTCCGAATCCTTTGAACACTGCCTTGAATATCTGGCTTACTTTAATTGAAAACAGCTCTTAATCAGAAGATAGCCAATAATGCCTGCGTTTTTTAAAGTTAAATGTTTCTAGTAAAGTTCTGTAGAAACAGGAAAAGAAAGTAGGGACCATCTTGATTATGGTTCCCAGCCCAGAGCCCAGGTCTTTAGGTGGTTTTATTAGGTAAATGCCCAGAGGCTGCTGGCCTCCAGGCACTCTGAAGCATCCAGCTCATCACCACAAGGGCCTTTACTCCAGGGGGAGGAGGAGGAGAATATATCTCTTAATCCCTCACCTATGAAGCTGGTGGAATTATCCCCATTTTATAGATGAGGAGACTGAGGTCAAGAAGATTAAAAGGTCCAGTAGTCCTGACATGCACCCTTGAGCCTGCCCTCCCTTATAGGCTGTGAGCTTCCCTGCCCTGCTTGACCTGGAGCCATCTGTCCATCTTTCCTTCTGTCTCTGCATCCATCCACCTCTCCGCAGAGCTGAGGCTTCACCCCAGAGCATCTGTGCAGAGTGAGGAAAGGACTAGAACATGCTCTAAAGTCCTCTGCAACAAGACCCAGGAAGGTGTGAGCTCAACCCAAACCCTGAAGGTAGGAAGCTGGGTAGCCGAGTGGGCTGGACCCCAGGTACCAGCTGCTTTGCTTGCTTGCTTATCTGATTTTCAACAAATACATACTAATGCTGCATGGGGGCCAGCACTCTTCTGGCAGTGGAGATGCAGCTGCGAATGAGTCAGAAAGAGGGCAGCGAGGGAGGTGAGCAGGGTGAAGTGATGGGAGAGGCACATGGGGTAGAGGGGGAGCTGCCTCAGGCAGCCAGGGAGGGCTGCTTGGAGGAGGTGGTGCTCAAGCTGGGACCAGAATGATGAGAAGGAGCTACCTGCTCTGCTGTGTGATGATCTTATCTGGGGAGGAAGGGACCAGCAGGGGCAGAGGCCCAACATTTATGGAGCACCTGCTGGAGACTTTTTTTTTTTTTTTTTTTTTTTTTTGGGGTCCGCGGGCCTCTCACTGCTGTGGCCTCTCCCGTTGCGGAGCACAGGCTCCGGACGCGCAGGCTCAGCGGCCGTGGCTCACGGGCCCAGCCGCTCCGCGGCATGTGGGATCTTCCCAGACCGGGGCACGAACCCATGTCCCCTGCATCCGCAGGCAGACTCTCAACCACTGCGCCACCAGGGAAGCCCTGGAGACATTTTTTTTAAACAGCTTTACTGAGATATAGTTCACATTTAATTTATGTAATTCACATAAAACTCATCCATTTAAAGTGTACAGTTGAATGGTTTTTAGTATATTCACAGGTGTATGTAACCATCACCACTGTCAACTGTAGAACATTTTCATCATCTCAGAGTGAAATCCACGCCCCTTAGCTGTCATCCTCCAGCCCCCTCCCCCAGCCCTAAGCCACGACTCATCATTCTGTCTCTATAGATTTGCCTCTTCTGGACTTGTATTTGGACCCCTGGAGTAAGTGGTCTCTTTGTGTCTGGCTTCTTTCACCTAGCATAACATCCCCCAGGTTCATCCATATTGTAGCCTGTCTCAGTGTAGCATTCCTGTTCGTGGCTGAGTAATAGTCCACTGTGTGGATTTAGCACATTTTCTTTATCCATTTGTATGGTTTTTTCCCACAGATTATAGTACACTTTTAAAAAAACCTTTATACTATAGTTGATTTACAATGTGTTAGTTTCAGGTGTACAGCAAAATGATTCAGTTATATGTGTACATTTATCTCTTCTTTTTAAGATTCTTTTCCTATATAGGTTATTAAAGAATATTGAATAGAGTTCCCTGTGCTATACAGGAGGTCCTTGTTGATTATTTTATGTATAGTGGTGTGTGTATGTTAATCCCAACCTCCTAATTTATCCCTCCCCCCATCCATTTGTATGTCGGTGAGCATTTGGGTTGTTTATACCTTTGGGCCGCAGTGAACATGCCGCTGTGAACATTCCTGAACAAGTTTCTGTGGCCATGCTGCCTGAGTGTGTGTCATGCGTACAGTCGTTTGATGCCCAGGACACCTCTCCGGCGGAGCGGGTTATTCCTCCCTCGTAAGGTGAGGACTTGGGTGACCCATGGTCAAGTGCAGGTCAAAGCCTGGCCACCCGGCTCCAGTCTGTGCTTTTGACCACAACCCCTCAGCACCTCCTCACAGAGGCTTGGCAGGTGCGGGGCGGTGAGGGGCCCAGGGTGGCCTGATGGGGTGGGGAAGGAGCAAGGAGGAGACAAAGCCACAAGGGGTCCAGAGGCCCCAGTGAGAAGTTTGGACTTTGCTTTAAGTGAGAGCTGGAGATCCTGGCCTAGCGTTGAGCAGGGAGTGACATGGTATGATTTGCACGTTTCGAAGGTGGTTCTGCCACCGTGTGGAAAATGGTCCCGGGGTGGGAGCTCGGGGGGCAACAGGTAGAGGAGTCTGGAGGCTGTGATCCTTCAGATGAGAGGCAACGGTGGCTCTTCTAGGAGCTGGACAGAGAGTGGGGAGTGGACAGACTGGGAACAGAGGTGGCTGCTGCGTTGCCCTGCCGTCCCACACCTCGGCCCCCATCCCATGGCTGGAGGGCTCTCCTGTGTGACTCTCCCCTGAGTTGGCAGTTGGATGTGAGGTTCCTGACCTTGTGTGAGGGGAGAAGAAATCAAACCTGACCCAGCAGCCTTGGGACGTGGGGAGAGGAAATAGCGAAGGATTTTAGCAAGAAAAAGGTCACGGGCAGTGTGAGAGATGAAATGGAGAGAGTAGGTGAGGCGGAGGTGTTAGTTCTGGTGGGTCAAAGTGGGTGTGGGTGTCAGTGGCACCGTCGATGGCTGTGGAAAAGCCCCAGGTGGAGGTAAACTGCTACTCCTCCTGGCTGGGCCATCTGGCAAAAGATCCATTGAAATTCAAGATGCAATTACTCTTCAATCCAGCAACTCCACTTCTAGAAGTTCGTCTTGCCATGATACTGGGACAGGTACACACGGTATAGGCAAGGGTGTTCGTTAACACTGGACATGAATCTAAACAACCATCAGTCTGGAATTCAGTAAATCTTGGTACATTCCACTCAGTGAAACCTTCCCAGTCATCAAGAAAGATCAGGTAAAGCTATCTGTCTGCGTTGACAGGGAAGGATGTCCACGCTATAGAAGAAAAGGTATGAGTGCATGTAAAATGTTAAGTACACGTGTCCTTTTCCAAGCGCAGAGAGGCACCTGGAGAGGTGTGCACACTGAGCTCTTTCCTGGAACGTGGGGTGACAGGTGGGCCAGGAGTTCACTTTTCTGCTTTCCAGTCTTCTGAGTCGTTTTTTTTTTGGCAAGGTTCATATATCATCTTTATCATTAAGATATAATATTCTTCCTTTGTGAAAAGAAAAAAGTACCAGACAGGTGGCAGTTTCACTTCCCTTTGAAAGAGGAACCTGCCAACCCTGGGGGACAGGGACCAGTACGGTGGCTTTCTCATCTACCTGGGAATTAGGCTGAGCTGCTGCTTCCTTGCTCAAAGCCCAGGGATCTCTCCTCTGAGAACCACCTGCTCCCTGCACAGCCGTGGGCCCCTTGTCTGTGGGCTGCCTGGAGCCTTTCCCCTTGTCCTCCCCCAAGCCCTGCCCCCAGAACGAAGGCAGGGCTCTTTGTCCAGGGAAGCTGCCTCCGGCCCCCTGGCCTGCTCTGGCCCCCCTGGCCTGCTCTGGCCAGGCTGATGAGGTGGCCAAGATCACGGCAGCTCTGCATCCCTGGCTCTCAATGTTCCTTTCTGGGTGAGGTCCTTGCCTGAAGCAGAGAGACTGGAAATGGAACGAGGTGGTAAGCTGGGGACCTCCCAGACCCCTGCTGCCCTGGAATGCAAATGAAGGACGAAAATACACCTTATCACCATACCCCATGCAGCCCAGAGTCAGTCTCTGCTTCATGGTTTAGTGACCAGAGTTAGGTTTTTGTTTTGTTTTGTTTTGTTTTTTCATTTATATACTTTTATTTGGGAATGTTTAAATCAATACAGAGAAAACTAAATTTCAGAGACACGGAATATCATTAGTTTGGATTTCATTACTTTATTATAAAAGAAACACGGAAATTATTTACATGATGAAAGATTTCAGAACTTCAGTGGCAGCTTCACGTGATGCTATTTCAATAGTGACTTATTTTAGTCGACGTATTTTCCAAGAATGTCACCATCTCTAAATAAGAAATGATCCTCGTCATCTAGAACTACTTTGGTGCCTCCATATTCTGGGAGAACTTTATCTCCAACTTTCACACTAACTGGTTGAATCTCTCCACCCTTTCCTTTAGCGCCTGATCCAACAGCTAATACCGTTGCTTGAAATACTTTTCCTTGTGATTTTTCTGGAAGCATAATGCCTCCTTTGGTTACAATTTCAGCTGCACTTCTTTCAACCGTCGCCTCCCCTCCCGGAAATCCAGTTAGGTTTGAACCAACTTTCTGCAGGTTGTTCTCAGTCTGGGCTCCTGCCCAGGTACCACCCTGACACCCTGGGCTGTCCCCGTGTCCCTTCCTGTCCTGCCGCCTCTTGACACACCTGTGCCCCCTCCCCGTTTCCATTCCAGCTGCCCCCCGCCCCCCGCCCACCATGGCCTCCACTAACAAGAATGGCGAGAGCGTCTCCTCGATGTCCAGTAGCCGCCTGCAGAGCCGGAAGCCACCCAACCTATCCATCACCATCCCTCCGCCCGGGACCCCAGCCCCCAGCGATCAGGCCAGCATGCTGCCCCAGGTAAGGGAGCAGCTGGGTGCTTGGTGCCCTGCCACCGGCCACCGCTGTGCCCCCGTGACACCTTTCGGGCAGTTTCACTTCCCGGAGGAGGGCCTTCTGGAGCCACAGCTGCCCTGTGTCCCGGCTGTAGGCTGCACCCCGTCCTTCCTGGCCCCAGACTTCACAGGGGGTGGGCCCTGAACTCAGTCTCTGTCTCATGGTGGGCCAGGGAAAATAAGAAACACTTGCCAGTTCCGCCTGGGAATTGGCTCTTTCCGTTCCCTTGCCTGAGACCTGGCCCTTCTGCGGGCGGTGGGCTGCCTGTGACTTGGGGGAGGGGCACAGCGCGCCTGCAGCACCAGCAGCTGGATCCCAGCGCCCGGCTCCTGTGGGGGGACGGGGAGAATCAACGTTGCCAGCAGTCCGGACCAACGCTTCATAAAGAGCTCATTGAGAACTAGCTGCAAAGAGCGTGGGCTAAAAAAAAAAAAAAAAAAGGCTTCCCTGGTGGCGCAGTGGTTGGGAGTCCGCCGGCCGATGCAGGGGACGCGGGTTCGTGCCCCGGTCCGGGAGGATCCCACG